ACGTGTGTGTGTGTGTGTGTGTACTCACATGTGTCTTCTAAATGTGAGAAGCTCCAATTCTCCTAGAAAAACTCAAGGTCCTGTTACTTCTTCTGAACACAAACCACATCACACTGCCTTATAGGAATGATTCATTCTTTTTAATGTCCAACATTTTTTCTTGTACAGTGTCCACGGTAACTGAGGAGAATGCTTTCCTGTGTGACAGCCACACAGCCCAAACCAAAAGATAAAGTAATGGACTCTCTCTCTCTCGCTCTCCCAATTTGCTTTTCATTCCAGCTAAATGATAACCTCTCCCCCAAACTGAAGCTCCCTGTCAGGCTGCATCAGGGCAAATGAATCACTTCACCTGAGCCAACCCACTCACAGCCTTAAGATGTTTCACAGGTTCATGCATACAGCATGAAAGATAAAGAAATAAAATTTGCAAATATCAAAATATATAAATAAATATTGTCTGTACATGCTGAAGGTGACGGACACACAATCATTAGTGTGTGGGCGTGTGTCTGTAGAGAACAGTATTCTCCAGCCCTGCTCTACCCTGCGTGTGTGTGTGTGTTTGTGTTTTTCCTCTTTCACTCCTTGCAGTGATGCATCATTCCAATTTTTTAAAATACTTTTTCTTAATTCTACCCTCTGTTCCTCTATCCTTTGGTTTTTCTTTGAGCCAAGTCACATTAAAAAGAATAGAGTTGAAATAAACAATCACCATTGACTTTTCTAGTGAATCACATTAACATTGGATGCCTTGAGTGCCCGCTTTTCTGAAGATAAGGCTGCAGAGTTTGAACTTTAACAAAGAGAAGCAATTTGGTGCATTGTGTCGACTTCATCTCCGTTCAGCATATTATCAGTTTCATCTGGAGCCAAAGACAGAGGAATTCAGAGGTCACATCGTGTTTAACAAAGTGTAGTTAGTACAGCGTTTTCGAGCAACATTCAGAAGCAGGACTTTGATGCCTACGTTATCGAATACTTACATTACCAAAATACACTGCCTGCCTCCGCCCGTGTGAGATGAGGCGGGGCAAATGGAGGGACACGCCCCTTTCTACAACACTTTTCCGCCACATTGGTCAAACTGTCCCTCAACCAGAGTCACCGATCCTACAACCCCAACCACAAGTCACGGTCACACACACAAAAACAGTCCATACTGTACACCTGTCCATCCTCCTGTACCAGAGCCCTGACCCTTAATAGATACAGCTGCCTGGGAACTACTACTAAAGAGAAGAAAATGCAGATGTAAGACAGCCATTCTATGTTTGTGTTGAGGTTATGGTTACAGGTAAGTGGTAACAGAATCAGACCTAAATGGGGCTGGGTAATCGGTGTGGATCCAAAGGCCAAATAATCCCATTTCTTACCTGTCTTTA